TGCTATTTTGCACACGCTATGCCGTTGTTCTTTTTATTTTGCACACGCTAGGCCCTTGTTCTTGCTATTTCACGAACCCTATGCCCTTGTTCTTGATTTTTTGCACACGCTAGGCCCTTGCTCTAGCTATTTTGCACTCGCTAGGCCCTTGTTCTTGCAATTTTGCACACGCTAGGCCCTTGTTCTTGCAATTTTGCACACGCTAGGCCCTTGTTCTTTTTATTTTGCACATGCTAGGCCCTTGTTCTTGTATTTTGCACACGCTAGGCCCTTGTTCTTGCTATTTTGCACACGCTATGCCCTTGTTCTTTTTATTTTGCACACGCTAGGCCCTTGTTCTTGCAATTTTGCACACGCTAGGCCCTTGTTCTTTTTATTTTGCACACGCTATGCCCGTGTTATTTTTATTTTGCACACGCTATGCCCTTGTTCTTGCAATTTTGCACATGCTAGACCCTTGTTCTTTTTATTTTGCACACGCTAGGCCCTTGTTCTTGTTATTTCGCGAACATAAGGCCCTTGTTCTTGATTATTACCATACGCTAGGCCCTTGGTCTTGCTATTTTGCACTCGCTAGGCCCTTGTTCTTGCAATTGTGCACACGCTAGGCCCTTGTTCTTGCAATTTTGCACACGCTAGGCCCTTGTTCTTTTTATTTTGCACACGCTAGGCCCTTGTTCTTGTATTTTGCACATGCTAGGCCCTTGTTCTTGCTATTTTGCACACGCTATGCCCTTGTTCTTTTATTTTGCACACTCTAGGCCCTTGTTCTTGCAATTTTGCACATGCTAGACCCTTGTTCTTTTTATTTTGCACATGTTAGGCCCTTGTTCTTGCTATTTCGCGAACGCTAGGCCCTTGTTCTTGATTTTTTGCACACGCTAGGCCCTTGCTCTTGCTATTTTGCACTCGCTAGGCCCTTGTTCTTGCAATTTTGTACACGCTAGGCCCTTGTTCTTGCAATTTTGCACACGCTAGGCCCTTGTTCTTGCTATTTTGCACACGCTAGGCCCTTGTTCTTTTTATTTTGCACACGCTAGGCCCTTGTTCTTGCTATTTTGCACACGCTATGCCCTTGTTCTTTTTATTTTGCACACGCTAGGCCCTTGTTCCTGCAATTTTGCACATGCTAGACCCATGTTCTTTTTATTTTGCACACGCTAGGCCCTTGTTCTTGCTATTTCGCGAACGCTAGGCCCTTGTTCTTGATTTTTTGCACACGCTAGGCCCTTGCTCTTGCTATTTTGCACTCGCTAAGCCCTTGTTCTTGCAATTTTGCACATGCTAGGCCCTTGTTCTTGCAATTTTGCAAACGCCAGGCCCTTGTTCTTTTTATTTTGCACACGCTAGGCCCTTGTTCTTTTTATTTTGCACACGCTAGGCCTTTGTTCTGGCTATTTTGCACACGCTGTGCCCTTGTTCTTTTTATTTTGCACACGCTAAGCCCTTGTTCTTGCAATTTTGCACATGCTAGACCCTTGTTTTTTTTATTTTGCACACGCTAGGCCCTTGTTCTTGCAATTTCGCAAACGCTAGGCACTTGTTCTTGATTTTTTGCACACGCTAGGCCCTTGCTCTTGCTATTTTGCACTCGCTAGGCCCTTGTTCTTGCAATTTTGCACACGCTAGGCCCTTGTTCTTGCAATTTTGCACACGCTAGGCCCTTGTTCTTTTTATTTTGCACACGCTAGGCCCTTGTTCTTTTTATTTTGCACACGCTATGCCCTTGTTCTTTTTATTTTGCACACGCTACGCCCTTGTTCTTTTTATTTTGCTCATGCTAGGCCCTTGATCTTGCAATTTTGCACATGCTAGACCCTTGTTCTTTTTATTTTGCACACGCTAGGCCCTTGTTCTTGCTATTTCGCGAACGCTAGGCCCTTGTTCTTGATTTTTTGCACACGTTAGGCCCTTGCTCTTGCTATTTTGCACTCGCTAGGCCCTTGTTCTTGCAATTTTGCACACGTTAGGCCCTTGTTCTTGCAATTGTGCACATGCTAGACCCTTGTTGTTTTTATTTTGCACACGCTAGGCCCTTGCTCTTGCTATTTCGCGAACGCTAGGCCCTTGTCCTTGATTTTTTGCACACGCTAGGCTCTTGCTCTTGCTATTTTGCACTCGCTAGGCCCTTGTTCTTGCAATTTTGCACACGCTAGGCCCTTGTTCTTGCAATTTAGCACACGCTATGCCCTTGTTCTTTTTATTTTGCACACGCTAGGCCCTTATTCTTGCAATTTCGCACATGCTAGACCCTTGTTCGTTTTATTTTGCACACGCTAGGCCCTTGTTCTTGCTATTTTGCACACGCTATGCCCTTGTTCTTTTTATTTTGAACACGCTAGGCTCTTGTTCTTGCAATTTTGCACATGCTAGACCCTTGTTCTTTTTATTTTGCACACGCTAGGCCCTTGTTCTTGCTATTTCGCGAACGCTAGGCCCTTGTTCTTGATTTATTGCACACGCTAGGCCCTTGCTCTTGCTAATTTGCACTCGCTAGGCCCTTGTTCTTGCAATTTTGCAGATGCTAGGCCCTTGTTCCTGCAATTTTGCACATGCTAGCCCTTTGTTATTTTTATTTTGCACACGCTAGGCCTTTGTTCTTTTTATTTTGCACACGCTAGGCCCTTGTTCTCTTTATTTTGCACATGCTAGTCCCTTGTTCTTTATATTTTGCACACGCTAGGCCCCTGTTCTTGCTATTTTGCACACGCTATGCCTTTGTTCTTTTTATTTTGCACAAGCTAGGCCCTTGTTCTTGCAATTTTGCACATGCTAGACCCTTGTTCTTTTTATTTTGCACACGATAGGCCCTTGTTTTTGCTATTTCGCGAACGCTAGGCCCTTGTTCTTGATTTTTTGCACACGCTAGGCCCTTGCTCTTGCTATTTTGCACTCGCTAAGCCCTTGTTCTTGCAATTTTGCACATGCTAGGCCCTTGTTCTTGCAATTTTGCAAACTCTAGGCCCTTGTTCTTTTTATTTTGCACACGCTAGGCCCTTGTTCTTTTTATTTTCACACGCTAGGCCCTTGTTCTTGCTATTTTGCACACGCCATGCCCTTGTTCTTTTTATTTTGCACACGCTAGGCCCTTGTTCTTGCTATTTCGCGAACCCTATGCCCTTGTTCTTGATTTTTTGCACACGCTAGGCCCTTGCTCTAGCTATTTTGCACTCGCTAGGCCCTTGTTCTTGCAATTTTGCACACGCTAGGCCCTTGTTCTTGCAATTTTGCACGCGCTAGGCCCTTGTTCTTTTTATTTTGCACACGCTAGGCCCTTGTTCTTGTATTTTGCACATGCTAGGCCCTTGTTCTTGCTATTTTGCACATGCTAGACCCTTGTTTTTTTTATTTTGCACACGCTAGGCCCTTGTTCTTGCAATTTCGCAAACGCTAGGCACTTGTTCTTGATTTTTTGCACACGCTAGGCCCTTGCTCTTGCTATTTTGCACTCGCTAGGCCCTTGTTCTTGCAATTTTGCACACGCTAGGCCCTTGTTCTTGCAATTTTGCACACGCTAGGCCCTTCTTCTTTTTATTTTGCACACGCTAGGCCGTTGTTCTTTTTATTTTGCACACGCTATGCCCTTGTTCTTTTTATTTTGCACATGCTACGCCCTTGTTCTTTTTATTTTGCTCATGCTAGGCCCTTGATCTTGCAATTTTGCACATGCTAGACCCTTGTTCTTTTTATTTTGCACACGCTAGGCCCTTGTTCTTGCTATTTCGCGAACGCTAGGCCCTTGTTCTTGATTTTTTGCACACGTTAGGCCCTTGCTCTTGCTATTTTGCACTCGCTAGGCCCTTGTTCTTGCAATTTTGCACACGTTAGGTCCTAGGGTTTGTTATTTGTACCAATTTTTCTGACTTAGTCATCTCATTCCTCTTCTCATTTGTTTCACATGGTATAGAGCTAGGTCCCTCCAGGACCGATTTTTTTTTTTTTTTTGGGCCCACCGAAGCGCGCCCCGAGGCGCGGTTTTTTTTTTTAGCGACCCCTCGAGTCGCCCTCTCCCCTGCGGCCTCCCCGCCCACTCTGTCGCGGCCCCGCCCTGACCCTTACGCGGCCCCGCCGCCTGCTCCTTACGCGGCCCCGCGTCGGCCCCCCCCTTACGCGGCCCTTACGCGGCCCCGCGCCGGCTCCTAAGCGGCCCCGCGCCGGCTCCTACGCGGCCCCGTCCCCGGCTCCTACGCGGCCCTGTCCGCCGGCCCCTTACGCGGCCCAGCCGCCGGCCCCCTACGCGGCCCCGCGCCGGCCCCTTACGCGGCCCCGCGCCGGCCCCTTACGCGGCCCAGCCGCCGGCCCCTTACGCGGCCCCGCGCCGGCCCCTTACGCGGCCCCGCGCCGGCCTCCTACGCGGCCCCGCCGCCGGCTCCTACTCGGCCCCGCGCCGGCTCTCACGCGGCCCCGTCCCGGCTCCTTCACGGCCCCTGTCCGCCGGCTCCTTACGCGGCCCTGCCGCCGGCCTCTGCTCGGCCCTGCGCCGACCCCTGCGCGGCCCTGCCGCCGGCTCCAACGCGGCCCTGCCCCGGCTCCTAAGCCGGCCCTACCGCCGACCCTGCCGCCGGCTCCAACGCGGCCCTGCCCCGGCTCCTACGCGGCCCTACCACCGGCCCCTTCGCGGCCCCGCCCCGGTCCTCTTACGCGACCCCGCCGCCTCACCTGCAGCTGTCGGGCGGCCGGGCAGCCGAGCCGCCCAGTCGCCGAGCCGCCCGGGAGCCGAGTCGCCCTGCACCCGAGCCACCCGGGAGCCGAGCCGCCCGGGAGCCGAGTCGCCCTGCACCTGAGCCGTCCGTCGCCGAGCCGCCCGGGAGCCGAGCCGCCCTGCACCCGAGCCGCCCTGCCGCCGAGCCGCCCGGGAGCTGAGCAGCTGTACACCCGAGCCGCCCGGTCGCCGCTCTGCTTTTCTGTCGAGCTGCACGGCCTGCCCTGCCTGGTGAGCACAGTCCCTCTGTCACTGCGCCCTCTTTCCCTACTGCTTGCACTGCTTCGCTGTCGTCATCATGGCCACCCCTAGTGTCCTAGCCTTTGACGCCGAGGGTCGCGCCATTGATTTTGAGGTCTGGCTAGATGACCTGCAGCTTTTCTTACAGTGCGACAGAGCTGACAGCCTTTCTCTCTTTGACCTCACCTCTGGCGCCTCTCCTGCTCCTGCTGCCGATGCTGATCCCACTGTCCGCTCTCAGTGGGCCACCCGCGATGCTGCTGCACGTCTTGCTGTGCGTCGCCACCTCCCTACCTCTGAGCGTGCGCATTTTAGTCAGTACAAGAGTGCTCAGACCTTGTACGACGCTTGTAGTTGCACGCTACTCCTCTCCTGCCACTGCTGCACTGAGCCGTCTCATGCTTCCCTACCTCTTTCCTGACCTCTCTGCCTTTTCCCACTGTCGCTGACCTCATTACGCACCTCCGCACTAGTGACACTCGCTACCGCGCCGCCCTTCCTGCTGAGTTCTGCGCTAAGAACCCCCCCCCCATGTACATCACTCTCTACTACGTAGTCGCACGCCTCCCTGACTCCCTCCGCGTAGTCAGGGACCACTTTCTCGCAGTCTGTCCCACCACTCTCACCGTCGACCTCCTCGAGACGGCCCTCCTCGCAGCGGAGAAGAGCATAGTCGCTGTCGGTGCCTCTCGTGGTGACCCTCGCACCCCCATCTTTGAGGGGTGCTCTCCTTCCCCCTTGCTGCCCTCTGTTGCCTCTGCTGCTGCGGCCCGACCTGCTTGGTCTTGAGTCGGTCGGCGCGGCGTCTGCCCCTAGTGGGAGACGTCGCTCTGGCAAGGGCAAGGGGGGCAAGGGCGCGGGCGGAGCTGGAGGGGGCGGTGGCGGTGGCGGCGGAGGCGGCGGAGGGAGTGGGGGTGGCGGCAGGAGTAGTGGTAGTGGTGGTGGTGGTGGTGGCAGCAGCGGCGGAGACGGTGGTGGTGGTGGCACCGGTGGTGGTGGAGGCAGCAGCGGGAGTGGAGGCGGTGGAGGTGGAGGCGGTGGAGGTGGAGGCGGTGGAGGCGGCGGCGGAGGAGGCGGTGGTGGTGGAGGAGGTGGAGCTGGTCGTGGTGGTACCCAGCAGCGGAGCGGCGGTGGTGGTGGCCAGCGCTTGCAGCGGCAGCAGCAGCAGCGTTCGCGGGACATCCCTCCGCCTCAGCAGCTTCGTGAGTGGTACACTGCGCGTCAGAGGGGTGGGGGTACTGGTCCCTGCGCCTACGTTCTTCGTTCCGGGCGACCGCGCGGGTGAGCAGTGTGGGGGTGCCCACTCCACCCAGCGCTGCTTTGGCCGCCTGACGGACGCTTGGCGTCAGCAGTTCCCCGGGGCTAGTGAGATCCCTCGCTGGGATGAGCTCCTTAGGGCTGGTGTAGCGATCTTTGATCTTGATTTTGATGCTATCCTTTCTGCTATGTATGCTGTGACTTATAGTGAGGAGAATGAGAGTTACCGGTGTTTCCAGCCCGACCCGGGCATTGGTACTGCTGCCCTAGGTACTTGTGAGGCTGCTGCTCTAGGTGCCAGTGCGTCTGCGCTCTCAGGTACTAGTGAGACTGCGCTCTCAGGTGCTGGTGAGACTGCGCTCTCAGGTACCTGCGTCGCCCTCGTCCTCCCTCACTTTCACACTTGACTCTGGGGCTTCTCGCTCCTTTTTTTGGAGACCGCACTACCCTCACGCCACTTGGCCGACCGGTTGCGGTCTCCCTTGCTGACCCCTCTGGGGGTCCTGTCCTGTCTCACTTCTCCACTGTCCTCCCGTGTCCGGCTGCCCTTCGGGCACCCTGTCTGGTCTGTACCTTCCCTCGTTCTCTACGAACTTGGTGAGTGGTGCGGACCTACAGGATGCGGGGGTTCACCAGTTCACTCCTGCGAGGCGGCGGGTGACCCACTGCACGGACGCAGACACAGGCCGACACCTGGCCACCTTTTCGCGTCGGCCGGGGGTCGAGTCTCTACACCCTGACCACTTCGTCTCCTCCTGTCCCTGTGTCTGGTCAGGTAGCTGCGTCAGGTCAGGTGCTGCTGCTGCGTCCCGGTCAGGTCCTGAGTCTGCCCCCTGGTTCCTGTCGCCTCCTGTCTCACGAGACTCTCCTGTGGCACCACCGTCTAGGCCACCCTCCTTGGCTCGTCTTCGGAAGCATGGCTTCCGTGTCCTTGTCTCTGGTCTTTCCTCGGTCTCTCCCTCCTCCCCCCCCCGGGCCAGGGCCTTCCTCGTGTCCCCTGTGTCGAGGGTCGCCTCCGGGCTACTCCTCACTCTTCCCACTTCCCCCCGACAGAGGCTCCGCTGCAGGACGCTTCACATGGATGTGTGGGGCCCGGCCCCCGTCCGTGGGCAGGGTTACGAGCCGTACTTCCTGTTGGTGGTTGACGACTACTCGCGTTACACCACAGTCCTCCCCTTGCGCAGCAAGGGTGCTGTCACTGAGGTGCTGATCGACTGGATCCGCGAGGCTCGTCTCCAGCTCAGGAAGAAGCTTCGGCTCTGACTTCTTTTCTGCGTCTGCACTCGTGACAGAGGCGGAGAGTTCTCCTCTCGCCTTCTGCGAGACTACTGTCGTGCACGGGGGATCCGCCAGACCTTCACACTCCCGGACTCACCACAGCAAAATGGGATTGCTGAGCGCCGCATTGGCATGGTCATGGATGTCGCTCGTACGTCCATGATGCATGCGGCTGCCCCCCCATTTTCTGTGGCCGTTTGCGGTGAGGTACGCGGCGCATCAGCTCAACCTTCACCCGCGGGTCTCTAGGCCTGCGATGTCCCAGCCTTGCTGTGGACGGGGAAGGTTGGCGATGCGTCTGTGTTTCGTGTCTGGGGATCTCGGGCGTTTGTCCGCGGACTTGTCTGCGGACAAGCTGTCCCCGTCGTGCTTGCTCCCTGTGTCTTCCTTGGCTTCCCCACTGACGCCCCAGGGTGGCAGTTTCTACCACCCTCCTCCTCGTCGTGTTCTGTCCTCCCAGGACGTCACGTTCGACGAGTCGGTCCCCTTCTACCGTCCTCTTCCCCTACCGCACCCCTTCCCTCCCCCCTCCCCGGACTTCCTTGTGCCGGTTCCCCCCCCGGTAGACCCCCTTCCCCCTCAGGTTCCTGCTCCCTCAGGTGTGTCCCAGGTAGACGCGTTGACCCGGTCGAGGTTAGTGGTGACTCTGGTGCTGCTGCGGGTGCTGAGCCTGGGGGTGCTGACTCTGGGGGTGCTGTCCGCGGGGGTGCTGAGCCTGGAGGAGCTGCTGCTGGGGGTCCTGAGCCTGGGGGTGCTAGTGCGGAGGGTGCGGAGCCTAGGAGTGCTGCGCCGGGGGGTGCTGTCACTGGAGGTGCTGGGTCTCGGGGGTGCTGAGTCGGGAGCTGCTGAGCCTGGGGGTGCCTGAGTTGGGAGCTGCTGCGCCTGGGGGTGCTGTGTCTGGAGCTGCTGAGCCTGGGGGTGCTGCGTCTGGAGCTACTGCGCCTGGGGTTTCTCCTGCTGCTCAGCCTCCCCGGGAGCCTCTCTCTCCACAGGAGCTGCGCGAGTGGTT